AATAGCATCTGCAAATACTGGATGTGTTGCTAAGTGCATGCACAGTCCTTAAAAATAGTGTGTGATACTTGTTCTTCTGGTAGCTTAGTGTCAGGTTGTGGAATTAATCCATTTCAAAAGTAAGCTTACTGCATCTGTAGTAATTGTCTCATAGATGGAGTTTCAAAAATCATTTTAGGAAAAAAAAAATAGAATACTTCAATATAAGTGATGCTGTGTTGTTTGGTTTTTTTTTCCTTTGGGGGTGTTTCTGAAGGAGAGGAGCCTACCAGAAAAAGGAAGCAACAGCACAGTCAAAATGACTGTACTTTGCAGACCAAGCATGGCCCTTGGCTTATCAGATAGCTTCTGTGGGAGCCAGTGAGATTTTCTTGAATGGATAAGAAAAGTATATTTCCTGCAGCTAGAGTTATAGCTAATTTGTTCTAGCATGGTAATATCTAAACTGCTGTCAACTTAGGAGTTAGAAACAGCTCTACAGTGTAAGTCACTGCATTGTGTTTTTATTCTATAAGTATTGTCATATACCTCGACTGACTCTATCAGCCTTATCAGGCTTACACTAGTAAATCTGATCCAGGCTTCTGTTATTGAAAGCACTGTTGTAATTGCTTCAAAACATTTAATAAAAACAACATTGCAACCATTTATGGATCTGCTAGAAGTACATAGCCCTGCATTTCCTCTAGCTGGACTACGGTGTTGTGTAGCATTTGTATCATGGTATTACAGCATAGCAATGAAGACGAAAAACCCAAAAGAATACTGAAATGGACAGTAGTTTATGTAAAACACAGACATTTAAAATATATTAACTCCATCAGATAGGAAGAACAAAAATAAAAATATTTTCTCAGGGTCTGTTTAGAAGAAAGCGTGGTCATTGGATGACTTTTCTACTTATATTCAGAAGGAATCAGCAAGTCTTTCATTACCTTTAAATGGTTAAGTGACAAAGAAATAAACCGGTTTTAAGATAGAAGAGCAGAGGCAGGTTTAGTAGTCTGTTACACGTGAGCCATAGTCAGAGGGGTCTCTTACCTTCAGTATTTTCAAGGTTTAAATGTATCTCCTCTGCAGCATTTGTGGGATTTTTCATAATAGCAGAAGAATCATGATATCTGAGGTAGGTCTTGTTTTCAGATCATCTTTGTAGGTATGCATTTCTAAACTGTTGTGTTTCTGATACAGAATTAAAGATAATCTACAAAACAATATTTGTGGATGGTGATTTTTCACAGCGTATCGAGCCAATTTAGAGTCTTTTTCATGCAAAGTACATATAGGGGGATGTAAGGCAGAATTTGATGAACTCGTTTTCACTTCCAGTTTGACAGAGTTTTGTTTTCCCTTAGCTTTTGAAGACAATCAGTCTTCATTATATGTCTAGATAGTGTTTTCAGCTCATCATATTTTAGAACTATTGTTATGTTGTTCATAAAAATGATACTTTTCCTTGAAGTTAAACATAGCGTTTTTCAAAACAGTATTTTTACAAGGTGTATCAAACCCTTTGTATAATTTAGTGACTCTTTTAACCAGGGATATTAATAGTATGTATTTTTAAACGTTGTTGATAGTAAAAGTAAAGTGCTCCACTGTTGTAAATGTATGATTAAAATTTTTAAATTAAAATCAGACCACAACTTTTGTTCAGTTTTAGTAGCTTTCAGTTTCACTCATTTCAATGCAACTGTGAATGCTACACACCTGTGGGAATTCAAGAAACCTGAAAATGTTTTGGCAGTACAATAAAATATTACTGGAAATCTGTTTGGGGAAAAACAAACCGACCAAAAATTTAAATGAAATTTTCATTCTTTCCCTTTTAAGGTTTTACCTTAAAGGTAAGGTATTATCATTCTTGCTCTTTATCTGTTAAGGCGGGCACTTTAGTCGTGTTTATTCTTGTATTTTAAAACGATTGTCCGAAGAACTGCGTTCTCCACTTTAAAAGATACTGGGTAGTAAAGGTTGGTGTAAGAGCTCCCTCTATAGGTTTTGGTTTAAATATCAGCTTAGGAAAATACAAGGGAGACTAAATTCCACGTCTTGTCAGTACTTCCTAAACATACTCAGTGGAACAATGTGACCTGATTTTTTTAAAAGCAGGATTTTATGGAAAGAAAGCTATAGACTTTACCAATGGTTAGAGTATGAAAATGTAATTTTATAGATCTAATTAAATTGTACTTAGAAAAATTTACACTTTTCACAGCAGCCAGATAAACAGCTTAAGTTACTGTTATATAAAGGAATAACTAGCATTTTCTCTTTTGTAACTACTTTTAATACTTGTCGATATCAGAGCTCTAAAACTGCAGAAGGATGGCTCACATAGTAACACAAGTTTCTCATCAGCTGAGAAACTATCTGGCTTTTTGTCATACAGTTTGTATTATTCAAAGCAAGAGAAGATGAAATCACTGTATGAAGGAACCTATTCCCTTAGTCCTATTTGAAAATCAAAGGCTACCATTTTCTAGTAAGAAAGTCAAGCAGGAGTGAAGCCTGACAGTGATAAAGCAATATGCCAACTTATAGGTACCTATGAACTTTACCCTACATACAAAATATTTACATAAGCACATGTACACCCATCTCACCATTCCACCTTCCTCAAGTATGGGAATCCATTTGTCTTGCTGCTTCGCTGGCAAATCAAGAAGCTTTCTCAGAACCATAGAATTCCATAAATTTTGTCTCTATTCCATTCCTACATGGGCCATTCATTGCATTCATCTTGTGAAAGGCAGCAGTGCTCCTGTCAGGTGAATTATCACCAAGAACCCACAACCTGTGTATCCAAAGCTTATAAAACTTACCAGTATCTCCTTATCTTAACCTAAGTGGATAGGGAGAAGTGAGAAAACTTCTGCTTGCGTGGATGTGGGAAATGAGTACAATTCCTATTCACAGCCAGAAGCCATCCGTGAGGAGCTGGTCTTTGGCTTGTGGGCGACTGCTCAATGCTGTGCTAGCTCTCATATGTCCAGCTGCACATAAGCTATTGAAAAGCTCTGTTGAGAATATGATTTAGCACAGTGGTTACATGACATTGTGTTAAGTGACATTTCTCTTAAATATCGTCAGAAATAGGATGGACTAACTGAAGAAGAGGTAGCTGGCTTTGAGGCGTAATAATACAAGTTTACCAGGACATTTCTTTGTAAATAAATATTAATTTGGTGTATAAGTATTGAATAATAAAAGTATAGTCAGAATTCTGCAAGTTATGTGTGGACTAGTCATCTATTTAACATTTTTCGTGGCGTGACACTGAACTTATGGACAAGTACTGAAAGGAGTTAAATAGATGGCACTTTAAAGCCCACAACAGAATGTGCTTCAGGGATTATAAAGAAAATCTTTATGGGCATTGGTATGTGGCTTTCAGAGATGAAAATGGCACCTTTATACATGCATAAGAGAACATTGTTTGCAAGCAAATGGAATTCTTGTGGTCATTATTGCAATTAAACACTAATCAGACAGTCTGAGACAATCAGTGAGGGTAGTGGCCTGGAAATCTCATTGTACAAACTTTGGATGATTAAAAATATTTTTGTTGTATGTCACTGCTGTTACTCTGGATTTGCAAATGAGAGAAGAATTTTGTCCACAGTCCAATTACAAATGCTCCATATTCTTGAAAAAACAAGAATGGATCAGAACATGAATATATCCTAGATGTTTCTAGTTATTATTCTCATTATATCATTAATATAGTTTACAAGAAAAGTATGTTAGATTTACAATAGCAAAAAAAGTCAATTAAAATACCTGTTACTGTGCTTTCAGACTACTCTTCCAGCTCATTTGTAATGGGAAGTCACTGTTAGATTCATTTTCATTTCTTAGAAGTAGCATTCAGAAATGCCACTAGGTTCAGGTTATTTAGAAAAGCAGGTTCCTCTAGTTGTTATGAAATCCAGTTTGAGGATTAACGTCGCTGTGTATCAAACTAATAGCAAGAATGTCTGACCATGAAATGGCTGAAATCCTTACTCTAATCTTACCACTTAGTGACTTATTGAAAGTACCTTTGGAAGGAGCATTGAAAACCTAGTTCTCAGGCATAACTGGCTAAATTACTTCATTAGCACTTAGAGAAACAAGTTCATTAAAAATGTATGTTTATGCCCATGCGTCATTCTCAGCCTTCAAAAGTGAGATATAATGTCTGATTTTATAGCCAGGCATGAGAATTGATCCCTGGATCTGGGTAAATTATTTTCTTAGCATCCTAAGCAATTAGTTTGGGGTGTAGGATTACTCTTGATTTCAGTTTTTCTATTCAAGATTGTTATTACTTTTCTGAAATTCCTGAACATCTCATTCTCCTCACAGTGCAGTATCACATGACTACTATTTTAAACACATGAGGAAAAAAAATTAGACAGAAACTATAGAACTAAAAGACTGCAAGTGACTTGTTTCTTATCAGTGTCTTTGAAGTGGGGTTGGTTATGCCTGATCCAGGATTTGTAACCTGAACAGTGACTGTGAAAGCGGCTGTGCAATCTCCTGCATCTGCACCAGGAGCAAGGGTAACTGAAACTGAATAGCAAAAAACCACTTAAATCTAACAGAAGATAATTATCCAAAGCTTTTAAAGAGTAGGAAAAATCTCAGCCACTTACCTACTCCTTTTCAAAAAATATGCAGAGGAGAAAGTGAGGACATGCGATGTTACCAAAGACAACTCAAGTTTAGCTGAGTTAAGTCTAGTGCTTTACAGAGCTAAGGAATTCTTTGTAAATACAGTTTGGTAGACACAGGGGTTTTATCATATACATAGAACATAATAGTTTATGAAGCAGATTATGATGTGATTGCTTGCAACACAAGCAAGTAAAAGGAATTGGAGTTGATGACCGTCATATCCTTCCAGTCTCATTCCTAACTATTTTTTTTTCTCTTTTTGCTGCAGCCCAGAAGATGGTGAAATCCATCCTGAAATCTGCAGACTATACATCCAGTTGCAGTGTTGCTTAGAAATGTATACAACAGAAATGCTTAAATCCATATGTCTGCTAGGATCACTGCAGTTTCATCGGAAAGGTATTGAGCTGCACAAGTGTACAGATGCTGATTAAAAAAAAAAAAACAGAATGGTCTTTTGGGGCATGCGTGGGTATTCATGAAAGACTAAAGCACCAAGCTGTGAAATTAACTATACCACTGAATCTTTTCAGCTGCTGAAAAAAATCTGTATTTCTGTTTAATTATGATAATTCTTACAGAAGTGTGTCATATCAGGCATGTATCATTAATGTCCTTGCAGCTTAGAAGTCTGAAATTTTTTTTTCAAAGGGGTGTCCCAAAAGTGTTAGATGCTGTTAGTCGGTTCAGTGGGCAGGCCCTTAGTCATCTAGAGGTATTTGTTTGGTATGATATTGGAGGACAAATGTTTGGTGGAGCAATAAGTCACGTTTGTAGTATTAAATTGATTCCTTACTGTCCCTGTTGATTTATCCAGCAGTGCAAGTATATAGCAAAAGACAGATGAATATGATTAAAAAGCTGCCCACCTTTATATAAATCAGAGACTCGATTCAGAACTGAAATTGCCTGTAGAGTATTTTTACACAAAAAGGACATGTCCTTGCTTCAGTGAAAGTGCATCTCTCTAACAATTTTGTATTTGATTAGCCACCTAGTGAAAGGAAGATGGAGAAATGCAGGCAATTTACTGAACAGGTTACTTAGTATCCTCATGATTCAGTGATGGCACAGCCTGATTTGGACTGTATGTGTGGTGATCGTAACTACTCTTCCCCAGATAATATCTCAGCAGAATATACTAGCTAAAGACAAGACAGTTCTGTAATGAACTGTGATTAAGGTCTTGTAACAAACCTTCTATATTTCCTGTTGTGCTGAAGGATCCTGTAATGTATTTTTTACATCCAGCTACAGGATGCAGCTAAAGCCAGTGATATTTTTTCTAGGAAAGTAAGAACTAGAGGTTTATAACTGCTTAGTTGAGTGTTGTGGTTTGAGGCTTGGAATGGGGGCGTGACCTTCCAGCACCTGGGAGGACCCCGGGTGGGGGTGAACCATTGTATTCCCTCCCTTTCCGACACACGCTCTGATAAGAGGCAGGAAGTGGGTGCTAACTGCACTCCTGCCCTGCAGCTCGGAGGTGGAGGTTGGGCTTTCTCTCCGTGGGACCTTGGAACTATTTCTGAGGGTTTTGTATATTTTTTGTATTTTTATATTTTATAAATTTTTGTATTGCCCCTAATCTTTGTATATATATTTTTTTTTAACCTCCCTTTTTAGTTTTCTGTTCCTTGTTAAACAATATACTTCATTTTTTTTTTCAAAGTCTCTCTCTCTCTCTCTCTGGGAGGGGGGGGGAAGGGGAATATATAGTTCTGTTCCGTGTGGGTCCTGCCCTGAACCCCTTTTTACACAGAACCAGAACATAGAGCTTCTCTGATTTTTCTCAATTCAGGAAGAAAGCTATAAAATAAGAAGAGACGGAATTAACAGGGCCATCATGTAACAAGGTGTCAGTAGCTGCTAAAATGAATCATCATTTTTTAAGACAGATTGTACTGCTTTTCCTAGCATTGGTTACACTTGTCAAACCACCTCCTGTAATCACAGAAAAAAAAGTAGCTTGAGGTGACCCGAGTAACCCCAATATGTCTTGTCTCTTCCTTTTGCCTCTGGATGGAATCTACATTAGTTAACTAAACGTCTGACTTAGATGTCTAAAGTTGGACAAAAAGAATTACAGCATTTTAGTATGGGCCATCTTAGTTCCTACCTGGCAGTAGGTTTTACTATAATTTGATTTCTTTTGTCACCATAGAGAAAGTCATGGTACCTGTTCTGACATTGCTAAATAGAGTAATTTTTGTCCTGTATCCACAGAGAGATAACCACAGTAACTTGGATCCAAGTTTCTGTGATATTCCTTCAGAAAAATTTATAGCAGGCAAAAATTATATAATCACAGGCATTCAAGTAATTTGAATATAGCTAACAGAACATTGTTCTTTTATATTAAATACTTGGTTGTTACAACACCTGGAAGTGTTATAAAGGCATCATGCAACACGGGAAATTCCAGTTACAGGTTAAGTATTTTTTCAGAGTGAAGGTCGTCATATAATAGAACAGACACCCAAAGAGGCTGTGAAATTTCCACCCTTGGAGATACTGATACCTGAAATAGCCCTAGGCAATCTGATGCAGCTCGGCCCCGCTATAGTGTGTTAGACTAGGTGAACTTACAAGCTATTTATTCTATATTCTGCCAAAACCTACTACTTTCCAAGGAGTAGAATGAGCTCATAACTTTCTTTAATTTACATAACGAGCAGGGTACTGCAGTGTCAGCAAAGTTCATACATTTATCTGTGGGAATGAAATGCCAGTAGTTTCACCATTATAAAATATATTGTCCTGTTGCTAGTATATCACTTTTTTTACCTTTTTCACCTGTTTAGTTTTTCAACAAGTGATCATTTAAAAAAAAAAAAAAAGTAATCCCTGTCCTTGTGTACGAAGAGTACTACCCTTAGAAACTTTGCTTAATTCATAAATATGTGTGTCTGATGTTCTTCTGTCTCCTTAAGCTCATTTTTGAAGGTAATATTTTCCATTGTATGTAATATTTTCTATTTTCTAGTCCTTCTACCTGTTGGATAAGTGGTTTGTTAGGTTTTAAATCTCCATGAGATTTCACCAATTTATTTTCTTCCTTGAGAGCCAGCAGAGGTTCAAGCAGAATGACATGCAGCCTGTTCTCAGCAGCCCGTGGCTAATTAATAAAGAGACCACTGGTATCTTGACCAGACATTACCAAAGAAATTATAGAAATGATCCTCCTCTCAGAGGAGAGCCACAAAAATGATCAGAGGGCTGGAGCACCTCTCCTATGAGGGCAGGCTGAGGGAGCTGGGGTTATTCAGCCTGAAGAAGAGAAGGCTCCAGTAAGACCGTACGGTGGCCTTCCAGTATCTGAAAGGGGCCTACTGGAAAGCTGGGGAGGAGCTATTTACAAGATTGTGTAGCAGCAGGACAAGGCAATGGTTTTATGCTCGAGCATGGTAGATTTAGATTAGACATGAGGAGGAAGTTCTTTACTATGAGGGTGATGAAACACAGGAACAGGCTGCCCAGGGAGCTGGTGGAGGCTCCATTCCTGGGGACATTTATGGTCAGGCTTGATGGTGCTCTGAGCAACCTGATCTTGTTGAAGATGTCCGTGCTTATTGCAGGGGGTTGGACTAGATGACCTTTTGAGGTTCCTTCCAACCCAAAGCATTCTATGATTCTGTGATTCCATGATAAAACTAAGGCTGATGCTCTTTTCTCAAGAGAAACTCAGCTAGTGCTCTCTACTAAGAAAGAGATGCTCTTTACACCACACTACAGTTTGAAAGGGATGAAGTAGTTATAATTTCTGGCCATAGAAGCTGCTGGATGTAATTATCCTTTTTCCAAATTAATACTGAGATTGACAGAATCCCACACTGAGAAAGCTCAGAACTGCTCCAAGTTACTAACTACACTTCAGCATACATTGCTCTATTCAGTCACAAATATTTTGGGGTCAAAGGTTTTCACTGATACCTTATGAAGAACTTCATTGCATTTTTAATGTGTAAACATAACAGATAAAAGTGCTTTGCTGATTCAAATATGCACAATAATAATATATTCCTTTCGTTGTTAAGAACTGTAAATATTCGTATTATCATTAGATCATTATAGCATGTCACTGTAGAAGTGCACATTACCAAAGTTTAATGTCTATGCATGTCTACATAGGAACCATTAACTCCTTAGGATCATCTACAGGTATCATTGATGTGTTTGGTTACATAATTACATTCATTATAAAATATTTTTTAAATGATGAATTGCAGATCGCAATCATTCTGTTAGTTAACTGTGCATCATTTGAGCAAGGCACTCATTTTAATAATTAAGGAGTCCATAAGCCCATATAACAAGTCAGATGCAAGACAGGATGGTTAAAGTCAACTGGAGGTGTTTTCCAGAGTTCAAAACATGCTGTAAAAATAGTTAAAGCTACCTTATCAACAGAATATGAAACTAGTAGCCGTTTGTGCTGAGTTTGAACAAAATAAGTCACTGCTCATGTATAGTTGTAAGAATATGTTATTCTTCTGGTCCAGGATCAGTTCAACCTGCTATATTGTTTGTAACTTGTTAAAAAGAAATGTAAACACATGGAGAGGTAATGCCTGCTCCCAGTTATTTACACGTAGGTCTAGTGATTTTAATAGAATTGGAATATCTATTGGAAAAAATTGTTCTGAGAAATATTAGATGCACAGAATCTTACATTTTCTTGTATGAAATGATCTGAAAGTCTTATTTTTTCCCGCATATTTGTTTCTAAATTACGTGTTTATACATGAGTAATTTCTCAGAATAAGATGCAAAATACTTTAATGCTTATCTCCTACATATTGTTTATTCTTACCACAAGAATATTTGTGGTAAGATTTCTATTTGTGGAAATTAAAAAATCACAGTTCTGTCACTGTAATTGAGATGTGCAGGTCCCATCTGACTGGTGTAAACGCAGCTGAGGGCAAACCCCTACCAGCACTAACCAGAGTGGTATGTACCTGAATATTTACATTAAAAAGGGAAGAACTGAGACTTAGGGAAAAATGATGTGAACATATTACAGACAGAAAATATCCCCTCATGAAAACATGACCTGAACTCATTTCTGCGTTGCAAGAACATCAGAATGATACCAAATCACAGGTAACTGTATCATGTACCATACAAGAAGTGCATAGCATAATCGTTATTTTTCAAGTATGTGTTTTATAATAACATGCATTTCCTTAAAATAGAACCTAAAATATGTGATAGCTTATACAACAGAGGGCAAAAATAAACCCTCAATTCAGTGGTTTGGTTTTGTTTTGGTTTTGTTATGTGTTTCTTTTTAAATTACACACAATTTAGAGTCTTGAAGGAGAAAGATTGTTTAATGGATGTGCTACAATCTCAACATTTGTTTAAAGGCTGATAGATATATGTTATTGCTTACACAAGAGGTAAGCAAGTAGAGAGAGGTAAGCAGTGAGAGAGAAGAGAAGCACCCAAGTATGGCGAAACAAGAATTTACAAATCCAGACTCACCCACTCTCATGTGGACACTGTGAAAAGGCCAAAATTAATACAAGAAAAACAGGTGCAGAAGGAGGAAAACACAACTGCTACCACAGACTCATTCCTATTGCATTTTCCTTAATAATGATATTTCCAGTGAGTCTCTGAGTTCTGCGGGTCCAAAGTGTAAGTCAGGAAAGAAGTTCATCAGGCTGCTAGCTATATTTGCAATGCCACATTTCCTTTTTATTTTCTACAGAATACTTTCTTATTCTCCTTTGTATATTCTCATTTTAATTCACTGTAGCTTTGAGCTATAGCTTGTGCATTTACCCTTAGTTGACAGGTTGGAAGCCTAATGCAAAAGCTGTCTTCTTTTTGAGAGAGGTGTTCTCTCAGTGTGGCTAAATTCTGTTACTCCCCTCAAAGATCTTTGCAGTTCATCTGCAGTGAAATCTTAACTAGCTTTTGGGGACCTACAGCAGCTTTTTTCGTTGTGTAAGTTTCTCTGCAAAGTAGGTGATGACTAAGAGTAGGTGCATAGGGTAGCACAACAGAAGCAAACATAGAGGTTACCACAGCAGTAGTAAGAACCACAACAGGTGGGACACATACATAGGTGGGGTGTGTGTAACCTTAATGAACTAATCGTTTTCTGCACTCTTATTTATCCTCACTCAAGTTTGATCTTCAGCATTATTTAGTTCAATGAATTTAACTTCGTACCAAAGGCATTCTCTGCTACTGAAAGTAAAAAAAAAAAAAATGTTGAATTAGAGTCTAGAAGAAAATGAATACATCATGTTTTATATTAAAATTTCACAGAAAAAAACACCTCTGTCTAATCACCTGGCAAGAAGGCAGGTGTGTGTGGACACCTCTAACAACACTGTGTGCATAATCAAATTCCAACTGAAATTAATGAGTCTTTCCACTGACTAAATTAAAAGTAAAATTTAAGGCTCATATCCCTATTTTAAGAATGTGTAGTATTGCCACTAGAAGGATGAGAAGATTAAAGAGCTATTGTTTCTCTGCAGGCTGTGCCATGTAGTAGAAATGTTAAGCCTGAATCATATCCATTATTCAAGGAAAGCCTGTATTATTAGCTGACTCTTAACTGTTTTCAAGTGACTGAGTAGATGCTCTGAAATTCAAGAAAGGCTTTGTGAATTGTTCACAATACAACAGAATTACTGGTAAAGAGATCTTTTTAGTTGAAAAGAAATGTGCCTTCATTCTGCTCAATCTGCAAGAACTTGCCTTTGTGCTAAGAGAACTTATCAGTCTCAGTACTTCTGTTCTCAGGTTGTGAAAAAAAACCTTTACTGGTATTTCACTTGCCATTGTTATTGTTTCCATTGAATCACCTTGCACAACCCTGAAGGTTGCATTTATAGACAGGGTTGTTCTTGCCAGCCTATCAGCAAAGGTCAGGTCAGAGTTCCAACGTAACACTTCAAAATAATGGCAGAGTTAACTAATACACAGTTCCAGCAGTAACACCTTGTGATATCAGTGGCAAATTGGTTTCCCTGGAGCAGCCTTTTCTGAAGTAGTGGTGAGATATTGGTAAGAGTATGTGGTGTTATGGGCTTCCTATAATGGGAAAAATAATGAAGCTTGTTATATTTTATTAGTGAGACCACGCCAATATTAATTTAGTAATTTTATTAAGCAAGCAGCAATAAGTAAAACAGCGCTGTGCGGCCGGGGAGTTTCCTCACTCCACCAACGGCGCGCAACAACCCCCCCAAGTCTCTCATTATATGCTCTTCTTCTTCCGGTGTAACGTATCTCTTTCTTCCTTCTGCGGCTGCGCCAGCTGTTGCTAGGGGGTCCTTTCTGCCTTCCAGTGGGCTTGAAGGAGGGGGGTGTATCATTCTTGGTGATTGTTTCATTACACGCATGATTACCCAACCTAACCCCAATTCTTCCGCCTATTTTCATTGTTTACAACACAGAATAGCTGTATGTTCAAAGCAAGCAAGCATGCGATTTCGAACAGACTGCTCTTACAGCAAGTTCTATTGGTTAATCTTTAAGCAGGAAAAATGAGTTTCAAAGCAAGCAAGTAAAACAATTAAAAGAAAACAATTGAACAATCAAAGATTGATTAACAAACTACAGGTTATCCATTACAAAGCTTACACAAAAGAACAATTAAAACCATACAGTATGAAATCCCTTAAAATAACAGCATAAGCTGTAGTTAAGAACTATAAAAATTTGAAAATTATACCTACAGGGTGATGCAGAGTAAAACATGTAATCTGGGAAGTAGGCTTAGGCTGCTGTTCCATAAACAATTGAGTCAGCTAATGCTTGTCATCACCAGAAAAATATGGGTACCTTCATCTCTATCTCCCTGTCATTGTCATGCCTTCACTTCTTCTTCCCTACCACTGCTTCTGGCCATGTGATCATCCTTCTCTGGCACTTGCTTTTGAACATACAGAGTTCATTACTGACCTGACTTAAATAACTGCAATGTCAGAAAACTTCACATTTTATTTTTCCTTTTATTTGGGTAATCTACAATTTTAGAATGGGTTAAAGTGTCTCACAGAAGGATCTGGCAGAGCACATTAGCAGTTTCATGCCAAAGTAAGTATCAGAGAAAGGGCAAAGGACATCATTCTCTTATAGATGGCAAGCTTGTTTATGTCAGGTCATGCAATCTCTTGGAACCCCAGATGATATAGTTCGGGGAGAAGCAAGTAAAAGAGCTTCCTACTGACTTCAGAAAGTAACAGAAACATTAAGCAGGTATCTTCTTTAGTGTAAGTAGTGTCTAGTTTAACATTCAGACAAGTCACCAAGATTTTATTTTATTTTTTCAGCAAAGGGATGACTTCCCAGTATAGAACAGTTTAGAGAACCTGCCCAAAAAGTGTTTTGTAAGATCCAGGAATTTATTGTTTTGGAAAAAAAAAAAAAAATGTTATGAGCCTGATAGTGGGGATACTTATTTGTGATGTGGAAGAGCAATAGAGCATGGTCTGCAGCCTTGGTCTCCAGTGTCCCAGAAAAATGAGCTAAATGACCATTACTCTATGAGCTGTTATTGTTTTTCCTGTTCTTTCTCAAACCTTAGAGGAAGTACTCAGGTTTGTCTTGATGTGAAAATTTTTCAAATTGGAAAAATTGTGGTATGAAGAACCATTTTCTACTTAACTGTTCATACCAGTGGTTTAAACAGTTACTTTTTTTTCCTCTAATTTTAGGAAGTTTTACTTGCTTCTTTCTGAGATTTTTTTAACTCCGTTTCATGAGAGAACCCAGAGGGGGAAAAACTTTTTAACTTCTCAGTAATGTATCTGGGATGCACTCCAATTTGAATTTGTTCATTTGAATGTACTTGGTGCCAAGATTGTACTTACCACTACAAAAAAGGAATACCTTCAGATAGTCCCAGGGAGTTTTGGTAGGGTACCAAAAATTCCCAGCAGTACTTAACTCTCTTGCATGCTCCATTATTGTGTTCCACATCCGTTGTCCCATTCTCTCCCTGACAAAAGCCCTGGCAGATATGTCATGAAGCTCCCATTCAATTCCAACACTGCATTTCGTTTCCATATAGTGAGCATGAATTAGGCAAGTGTAAGTGTGGAAACTGAGAGTATAATGTGTATTTGGGCTGTGAGCAGTGGCAGCTATGTATTGCTTTTAAAGTCACCAAGCAGAACACTGTATATTTTTGTCTTCTGTTTTCTGTCATTATTGCTGTAATATCTAAGAGACACGGATTGCAATGTTCTTTAGTGTCCCAAGTTTTTTTAAGTTGCTTTTAGAATGTATGCTGTAGTTAACTTAGTTTCTCCTGCTTCATTATCTCTGGCTCTTATTTTGTGTCACGTGTGAGCTGTTGGAGTCGAACTGAAATGCTTCATAATACTCACTGTGTAAAATTCTAAGCTCCACACATGCCTGAATGGGAGTTTTGTTTGGTAGGAGTAACGTAGCAGCACTCTCATCAGCAGATTGGTGTGATCTGCTCTGTTCCCAAACAGTTCTTACATACAGCTTGCACTCACCACTCTCTGTCTTCATTTATACTGTGCAAGATCAAGCTCAAAACATCAATGATACAATCTGAGTATACGTTTTAATTAATAAGTAACGGGGATGCATGTTTTGTTTAAACGTTTTAAAGGAAAGGAACCTTGTGCCCTACCCAAGATCCTAGATACTAAAGTGGAGGAGAGTTCCGAAGTACCTATTTTAGAAGACACGTCATCATCACCAACAGATATTCAACAGCATTTATGGCAGGTTTCCACAGATATTGAAAACACTGAAAGGTATGTGTAGTGTTCCATTCATTAAAAAATTTCTGTCCAGGGTTTATTGAGTCTTTTCCAATAGGCAGCCAGTGTTGCTAGCATAAAAGGGATTCGTAAATTAAATAACCTGTTTACATTTCTGTTACATTTAACATATCTGAGAGCAGCTCCAAAAAGAAGGGCAGAGAGAAGTGACATTCTTAATTCAGCTAATTACCAGAGGGTAATTGTGAAAAACAAAGGCTGGGAAATGATGTTGCTTGTAGACCAGGTTCTCTAAAAGCAGCAGCTTTTGTCTCATCTTGAGTGGTTTATCATTTTGTATCTGAAATCTGCTCACCTGTGGCTCTGCATTCATAAATCAAAAGTACAGAATCTCATTCATTTCAGTTGTTTCTGCCCTTAGTTATGAATGTGGAAGCCTTAGGAGGGGTGGTGAGCATCATCCACAGGTTTATCAAAGTCGACTTCTCTCACTCTCTTGGCTATGCAGTTGACAGACAAAAATGAGACCCTTAAGTAGGGAGTAATCCTGACAGCCAACATTTCTTTGCAAAAACTACCTATTTTCATGGCTTTGTATGTTAAGCTGCAGCTGCTATTTTAATAGTTGTCATGTTTATTTATATAAAAAATACTGTTCTACTGAGACATAACTCAGAGTAAGCCTGAGCAATTTATTGTTATTCATGCTGCTTCATTTCTAAGAACCATTCTCTATGTAGGTGAATGAGGCAAGCCCATGTTGCTTTTAAATCCTGAAACCCTTAAGAAATTACAAGTCTGCACACAAAATGACTAGTATGCCATCTATCTGTAAAACAGGAACCTTTTTGCAGCTTCTGGCTTCTCTCAAAACATATCCAATTGTAACTTGCTGTGTGAGATGATATTTTGTCATCACGTGTTACATTCTCTGCTTTTCAGAAAATTTCATGCCAGAGTCCTAAGAGGGGTAAGCGTGACAGCACTGTTTCTAATATTTCCACTTACTGTGCAGGGAGCCTAAGTGCCATGAATTAGCTAACATATAATTCTCTTCTGAGCAATGAAACACACTCATGGCACAAGCTATAAAATGCTGTTAAGGGGTATTAAGTTGACGTGAGTTCTAGCTTGTGCGAATTTTAAGGCCTGTTGTGTATTTGGCTGCCAGGATGACATTGTGCCAACCAACTCATTTAATATGGAACACTCAAGTGCCAGAACAGATCCTTATTTAATATACTGCCCTTTAATTTGGTATGCATCTTCTGATACATATATGTGAACCAAATGCCTGCCCAACAGCTTTTTGTGTTTATTGTTCCATTTTTTCAGCATATAAAGTTACACTGTGAACCATTCCACGTTCAGTCTTCAATTGCCGTTCTATTTTATCTCTTTCAAATTTTGTATCCACAGAGATATGAGAGAAATGAAAAACCTTTTAAGTAAACTCAGGGAGACTATGCCTTTACCACTGAAAAATCAAGGTAGGTTTTGTATTTTCATCATGTAAAGAAAATTATGATAATTAAAGGTTTGTATTCCATTAGATCCAAAATATCTAGAGCTACAAAAAGAAAAATGTAGGTGAAGTATCTTCCCTGCTGATTCAATGGAGCCAGAATTTAGTATGTGAACTTTGGCCTCTCAAGTTTCATGAGGTATTCTAGGTCTTTATGGAGATGCTATCTATAGATACAGTAATCTACTTCCCCTAGTGACACAAAGGCAGCAGCACAACTCTTTACTTCCCTGTTTCAGGAGACTCTTTTTCAAAGGTAATGAGGTTGTCAATTGCACAGATTATGACAGGGATACTACTGAGTGATCCTACTGATTTGCTTTACCCCTACAAGGCTTGTAGTTTCTGTGACATGACACTGGTCCTGTGCAGAAAAGGTATGTGCCTGGAATCTGCTAACCCAGCTTTTGTAATCTAGTTTAGTAATCTAGCTTTTCCCAGTAGCCAGCTATAAGGCACCCCATGCAAATAAATGCAAAGGGGTACAGGATCTCCATCCTACGCATGTATTTGGCAATGAGCCTCCATTCTGTGGCCCAGCAGTGTTAAATATTCCATGTCTACAGGCATTCTTTCTTCATAGGCACAACATTAAAAAGATAATAATTTTTCTCTTTGATTTCTTCTTGAGAATGTGTATTTCTTGAATGCTGCATAGTCTTTGCACAGTGGCAGCTAATGAAGTATTCTTGACGTGTCCTAGATCTTGCCTCAGTTCTAGATGTAAGCAGCCTAGCATGCACCATAATGTGGTAAGATAGAATGGATGAATTCATTATACAAATAAGAGTTTATGGCAGGATGGCTTGATGGAAAACTACATGGCAGTAGAAAGGGAGTGGCTGATGATGCATGGTACAGATGTGCCATTGTAGAGACTGGAAGAACGCCATCAAGCCTGTGCCTAGCCTGGAAGAAAGGAGCACAGTGGAAATAACAAAGGAAAAGAAACGTTTGAAGGATATAAATCATATGGAAACTTGAATTCAGAACAGAGATATAAAGCAGATCGAATTCCTCTCTGCTGTGTGGTATCTACACTGCCCTTCAGCACTGGCCAGAAAATCACTGAGACCAGTGCAGCAGGATGGGAAACATGTCAGCTAGAGTTTAAAAACTCTGAGACATGCCCCAGGATCAGGTCCTCGTAAACGGCATTCTTACAGCTCGCACAAACTCCAGCTACAACCAGAGCTGGAGGGTGACCACTCAGAATGGATGCCTCAGGAAGGGACAGTCATACATACTCACTATGATTTTTAAAATATTCCAAGACTTTGAATTAATTAAAGCTAGATAACAGTATAAGTAATTATTAAAAAAAATATAGGGTTATTAATATGGTCGGGGCTGTAATTTTGACATGTGTATGAATTACAAGCACTGTTTGAGAGAATGATTATGAAATGAATAAATGACATTAAATGAGTTGATCTTTACAAAACCCAATCCTGCTTTCAGTAAATGAATGAGTGTTTTACTATTGCTTTCAGTGACACCCAGGATGGATTTAAGACTTCAGTCTCACAAAAGCTTTATATAATGTTACTGACTGCTCACAGACCTGGTTTTCTTTGTATAGAATTCCCTTAAATGGTAGCAGGAAAGTTACTATGCTAAGAAATTTAGTCAGTATGCTCATAAGCTTGAGTGCCAGTATTAGATGATCTCTTGCGTATGTTCCTATAGTTAAGTATTAGTATTGCAGTAGTATCTAGGGCCTACAGTCTAAACTAGGTCCCCAGTATAACCAGAACAGGAACATAATGAGGCATAGTTCTTAGTCTGAAACCATGCCTGAAGATGGCTCAAATTTAAAGTGATTTCTAAAGGTTTTGTGAGATAGCTCACTGCTAGTGCATTAGTTAACATAGTATATGCACTAATGTATACCTTTTGTATTCATTTAAAAGGAGTTAATATAACAGGCAGAAAACTAAACAGAAACAGGGTATATAGCGTTAACTTTCCTAGACAAGTGTTTTTCCTCTTCATGTGCCCAGGTGTTCCAGTGTTGTAGTTTTAAATGGTAATTCTCCCTGATGTGCACAAACAGCTACCCAATAATGGGTTTTTTTACTGCTTAAACTGAGCTAGAATTTAATCTTAGGATCAACATTTCCAAACTTGAAGGTCTGCAGCATCTCAAGCTTTACTTATCTTTAGGTTTTGTTGGAGACCCTAATATTATTATTTGATGCAGGAATACTGTGGCTTAGGTCTCCCAGTACTGGAGGTGTAATTTCATTTCTGTTTCATCGTTGAATTGGTATTCTTCTTGCCAGAATTTCTATTGCATTATGATGTAGGTCCTGATAATTAGAATTGTAAAACTCTTATGTACAAAATTCAGGCTATTATTTGCTCTGTGCCTAGAGCAATGGGATCTATTACTTGACCATCTAGGTACTATTAGGACACATAAATTCTATAAACTCCTTTGTGTGTGTGCATGTGTTCATTCTGTATTAAAATGTGGGTTTTTTCATCACAGATGATAGCAGCCTCCTAAACTTGACTCCGTATCCATTGGTAAGAAGACGGAAGCGAAGATTCTTTGGACTATGTTGTCTTGTCTCAAGTTAGAAGATTAAACACAGAAGCACCAAGAAAGTAATAACTTTTATTAAACTTCTATTATTTGACCACTGAAAAGATGAACATTGCTAATCCTGATTATAAAGTACATTTTCTACACTCTCCTGTTCCTTTTTCTGTTTCTGCTCCATCCCCCTTTTCAAAATAAGGGTTTTAATAGTTCAAAGTTATGGTGGTCAAAAACCAGCTATGGAATAGATCTAGCATAACTCAGAATGTTTTTAAAACTTTTTAGTATGTTTTGCATGCTTATTTTCAACCATGCAGAGAAAAGACACATGAATTATGGTTAATAGATAATTTTAAAGTTTTTTTTCAATTGTTTGAACCACAGCTAAAAGTTTGTGCGTAGTACAGTACTCTTATTAGCATCACATTAAAATACTTTGTCATATTCTAAGTCTTTAAGCATAGAAAACTATTTAACAGCAAAAGTATTAAAGTTCTAAAACATCTAAACAATATTGTAACGGAATTTGCATAAAATCTCCAGTTGCTTTTTGTGCTCTCATTCATATTTAGTCTACTACTATATCTCAATTTAAAAGCCTCATAGAAAAATATCTTAATTTATGGTACACAAACCATATATTAAAATACTTAGAACTTGTAAATATGGAGAAATCATAATATCTACAAACTGTACAATGCATATAAGCAACAGAATTCCTTTTAAGCTGGTAGCAACTCTATAAGCTTTTGGAAAAAAGAATTATTAAAAGAAGGTATATTAAAATAAACAATGTAAAACACACCACCAACCCATTCTATTTCCAATAGAAATCAAAGCATGGTGTCTGTATATCACTATTAACTCTTATAGGGCATGCCACAATTATCCGAGACTGTAAGATAATAAACGTTTTACATTGTTAATAAAGATTTTTATGTAAATTAAATGTTCTTGTGCTTCTAGTTATATGGCCAGAATATTTTTCTTTCCTGAATTTGTTATCAGAGTGCTATGCAATGTTTTGATAGTTTTTCCATTTTAATAATTATGTTTACAAAGACAGATAAAAAATTAACGGTGAGTATATAAATGCTAAAATGACAGCTAGTAACAGCAACAGATATGAATAGCTTGGACTCATTGTACTGATATTTCAGGTTGATAGACAAGGCACCACAACTAGAGCTAGACTGCAACACTCTGACACCCATAACCATCTGTAAGTACCGTACAGAGCAGGTCACAGTCAGTAATGCCCGAGGAAGGTGGCTATGAGCCCTTCTGTCATTCCGCCATGGCCCAGCCTGTCAACAGGAACCAAATTCCCTCTCACTGTAAAAGATTTTGGTGGTGGTTGAGGAGGTGTTGTTTCCTTGCCACAGGAAGCACTCTCACAGTTAAATTCTCTGTGAGTATTTTTTTCATAGAATGTTAGTAGACTCCCCAAAGCAGTTTGTTAGGGACAGCTATTCACTGAGCAGTATCTGGCACCTTCAAGTTCGATCTGATTGATTTTTGTACAGAGTTTTTCTCCTGGAATGCTGTTTGCTGAGAAAGGAAGGAAACACCCACGCTGTCAGAAATATTAGTGTACTTTCTATAGCAGGGACCTAAAATTCAGATACAATTCCCAAGCAGAAAACGCATGAATTTTTTCTTCCTGAAGAGCCATAGCACTCCTGGTTTAGACATTCATGTAACTGAGGGTATTTTTTTTACCCTCTAAAAGGGTATTTTTGTTTTCATTCCGATAAAACAGAGTATCTTGGTTTTTTCCGAGGTTGAACTGATCTGTTCACCTTTCAGTCTCTCAGACAGAAAATATGTTTATGAATAATCAGACCCCCAAATAAATACTTTAAATGCAATGAGGACAAATACATAAAAAATGTGCTAATGGAAATTATGTGTTTCCATAAACAAAATTAATTTCATCTGAGGAATAAATGATTAAATTCTTTATATAGCACAGAAAAAGGTAACTAAGGATGTTTCAAGATCTCAGGTCACAAACTACTCCTCTCCAGCATACATGGCATTTAATCTGAGGAGATCCCTACATGCTCACAAAGCTGTGTGCTTGTGAGCACAAATACATTTTTAAGACAAATAGAATCATAGTCCACATCAGGACTTTTTTTTCAAAGTTAGTTCTTTGACATTTTCCTTACACCCCTCATGAGCAATGTCCTCATTAATCAGGAACTAGTTTTTCTGTAGTG